TAGCAGTCAAGTGCCTTAGGCATGCTACCAGAGCTCCTAACAAACTCAAACTCAAACTCAATAGTGATTATCAAATTAAAACTGCCCAACAGGGAAAAAAAGTCTTAGCCTTTAACAAATTGATAATGTAAAGGCAAAAGCTAAGCAATGGATGGAATAGGCAAATTTCATGACATTACATGTGCACACCATACCATACAACACAACATTCATCTGTAGCAAGTCAATCTTGGAATAGGGGACAAATCCACTGTATGGAATTGAGCCCTTTATTTATGATAATTTCTGTATCAATCTGAATGTTATGATAGCTGAATGCTGTACATTCTAGTCACATATACTTGTATATCTCAAATCAACACAGAGTAAGAATGCCTGGAAGTATTTTTATATTACAATAGCTCTCTTTTCCACAACGCTCCTTGGGACATTCCTTTCCAACATTAAAAAAGCACTAGCCTTTTCCCACTCTTCTGGTTTTACTTTTAGTATGTAAAGTAACAGGATTACAGTCAGAAATACCAGGAGTTTTACTGGGACTTATCCATCCACTTAAAGATAATTAAACATCAAGCTTTGATATTAGAAACAATTTTATTATTATTCATATGTTAAAATACTTTACACTTCATAAATTACAAAACACACTACTTAAATTACTTAAACCTGGCTAATGAGAGAAATGATTCTCCCATATGGAGTCATATACATTTTGCTTACCATTACAGTATCCCTTTCTTTCAATTCTGGCACTCAGCGAGACAGGACCAGAAGTGAAAAACCAACAGCCAACCATTTTCTCTTGAGTTTTCAATACAGGGGTCTGGGAAATTTCAAAGAGTAAAACGACCTTAATTAAACCATTCTAGAGAACTCATAGAACTTAAAATTATGTTATTCTTCACAGATGAAATATCTACCAAAAAATAGACTGATCTTTCTTACCCACGTGTAATATATTAGGCAAAATACTTACTAAAACACAAAACATTAAAAGTTATTCTTAGGAAAAATAAGGTAATTTTTAGATTTAAATTAGCATAAAGACACTCTCCTCTTTTACCCTGTAGGCATTACATTTCTGGGAGATGATACAGAGCAATCCAAAGCTGTATTAGTGGCTATTAACATGCTAGCAACTCTCCCCTCCCCAAGCCTTTATATGTAGATCAGGTGAAAGGAAAATGATATAAAAATCGATAATTATAGGGCTTTATTATATTTGCCACTCCTCAGAAGGAAGGTTGGGCAATCTACTTCCATAGTGATACTGCCTCAGAAACCCAAGGAGGGGTCACTATGTGTCGGGTCCGACTCCATGGCACATAACAACAACAACAATTATATTTGTCTGGATATCACTGTTTTTTTCATATGTGCAATAAGCAAACAACCTTATTTTTTTTTCAAAATTTATCATCAGACAAAAATTTCAAGGATCCTTAATTTGAATGGTCTTTGGATTTTGCATAATAGATGTACAATAGGCACAGTGTAATGGAGCTGAGATGGCTACTGAACATTACCACCTTCTTTCTACTGCAGAATCAAGAAAGGATAAAAAATTTAAAATGCTTCATTTATAAGCCACATATACCAAAAGCTCATTGTAAAACCCAAAATTCCTTGTAGTATTTTATCCTTTCTTTCTAAAAAGTAGAAAGGATAAACAGTGTCTTTTCAGCAAAAATAAAATCTCTTTAAATCACTTGCCACAACAGCCATAAAATGTTTAGAGATACTTAACCTCTCAATTCTAAGCAGTCTTTAAAGATATAAGACACTTGGTATCACCAATTTCCAAAATAGGTTGTCAGTAGATATTAAAGTCACAGTTGTAAGCCTGTCAGCTGGGTGCTGGCTGTTTTATGCTCTCTGCCACCAGGGACCCAGTAAACCAGGCCACAGAGCAGGGTATGCTTGCTATCTCTTCACAATCTTAAGGCAAGCCTTCGAGAAAATTCTATTTTTTAAATGTGAAAAATGAGTTCAATAACTTTTCACCCCTAGCTTTTTCCTTGTCTTTAAAAACACTGGGCAGGAAAAGAAATCTCTAGTACTAAAAATATATCTTTGTTACATCAGTATCATGATGGAAAGTTTAAATTATCTCAGTATTTTCCATGAAGTAAAAAATCATCATTCATATTTAAATGAAGACCCATTAGGTCCTAGCAGCTATCATGAAAGTGTAAGGTATAATTTTATATTATCTTGATAATATAGGTTTAGATAAAAGGATCTAGCTCATTAGCGCCCATCTTGCCTATTCTGTTGTTACTTATAGCCTGATCTTTCTTATCAGCCTACAGTATTTTGGGTGATTACAAGTTCAATGCTTTAATGTGGCCAAATCTGTCATAAGGAAATGATAAGTGAAAGGATCGCCTCAGCAGCTGCATGCACTTACTTAATGCTAGAAAATGACATGCAGAATGGAGGGATACATAGCATAATGGCCTGTGCCTCAATCACAGGCTGAGCATGATTAATACTCTTCCATAATTACTGTTCCTCAACCTGCTATTATTGAAGAGTTTAGAATACCACAGCCCTGCGAATGTAGCACTCTGGTAAAAGTAGCTATGGTCTATGTGTGTATTATTATTATTAAGCCTTATTAATGCATTTCAAGCTTGTGTAACTTTTTGGCAAAAGAAGCCCTGAACAGCAGGGACATAATCAATAGTATTAACACACACTATTTGTAATTTGCCAAACCTAGTATCATATATTTATTGTGAATGCCGACGGGTTACAAAACTGCATTTTCTAAGCCATCAGAAAGTGACAGGCCAGAACTACCACTAAATTGGCTAAAGGTGGGTACCACCAATGAAAGAAAGGAAGAAAAGAGGGAAGGAGGAAGAGAGAAGGAAGGATGAACTTACTAACAGTGCTGGTGTGTTGACATCGATGTGACTAATAACCTGGAGTTCCCGCTTCACACTCTGATCAGGGACCATGGGTCGTTCCAAAACTGCCTTCACACAGTACTGAATGCTTCCATACTTCCCGGTGAATGAGGTTACTAAAGGTCTGAAACAAACCAAAGACATTTATTTACAAGTTGATTTTTCAGAGAAACAAAGAAGAGAAGAGCCCTTAAACTGTTGGTTTAGTTGACAAAAAAAAAAAATAAGTCTATTTAAGGGTCCATCTATCCAGGGGCAATTGAGGATAAACATGCATGCTGAGAGTCAGAAGACAGGCAGTACCTATAGGTCTGGAAGGACGCATTGCAGGGAAAGAACACAGAAAAAGTTATAGAGTTTCACTTACTCAGTTGGAAGTTGAAAGCTAAATGGAAATTCATGTTTTCCAGGCTGTAATAAAATGATGCCTTCACCTATAAGAGAGATTACATTTTATTTAAATATGACTAGTATTAGATCAAGAATTTTTATAACATAAATCTGATTTTTTAAAGGAAGTTTTCCTGATTGTAAGATCCAGCGTGGTCCAAAAGTTCATTAAACTGAGGTTTAGAGAATTAAAATTTGAATCGGTTTTTCCCAAGCTTAATTAATTTCAAGTAAGAAACATTTGTATATACATATATGCACAATTGTTTTCCCACAAATGTGAGCTCTGGTGGCATGGTGGTTAAAGCGCTGGGCTCCTAACCAAAAGGTCAGCAGTTCAAACTCACCAGCCATTCTGTGGGAGAAAAATGAAGCAATCTGCTTCTATAAAGGTTTAAACCAACCAAACTCACTGTCATCGAGTCAGATCGGACTCATAGAGACCCCTCCTTGGGTTTCTGAACTGGTATCACTACAGAAGTAGATTGCCCCATCTTCCTTCTGAGGAGTGGCTGGTAGGTTTGAACCACCAGCCTTCTAGTTAGCAGCCAAATACCTTAGGCACCACACTACCAGAGCTCTCTATAAAGGTTTACAGCCTTGGAAATCCCATGAGGCAGTTCTACGCTGTCCTATAGGGTTGCTATCAGTGGGTTTGGTTTTGGTTATTATGCCAACATGAGATGCAAATCTTAAATTGGACCTGAAATTAATTTAGCAAAATGTGCATCTGTTTATTTTTGGTATCCCACAAAAATCAGACTACATATTCTTTGGACAGAGATGGAAAAGGAGATTTAAAAAAACTTAACTTATACCATTATTAATACTAGGTATAATACAAAACAGACAAACCAACAGGACAAGCTATTAGAGTCAGGTCTTTACCTCTAGCTCCACTGATTAACAACGGGTCTCAGCAGTGATCTTGAGACTACAAAGGGCTTTACCAAGTTTGGCTCCCTTTTATCTTCTGCATAGGCTTATCAATAATGGTGAGAAACCAAACCACAGGTGTGTGGTGGGGGGGCCTTAAGGCCAGAGGCCCTGCTGGGACCTCCAGTGAGTGCGCACAAACAACATGTACAATTAAACCCAAAGCAGACCCTGGCTCTAAGTTTCTTGGTAGGTTGGGAGTTGGGTATAGATAGCACCATGTGACACTGTCTGAGGAGGTGACACCAAAATGACTGTAGTTAGTTCTAACAACAAAAACATTTTTCACGAGCCAAGTTTACATGTATCAATAAACCTACAAGGCTAAAACTCTATGCTAATTTACTTTTTGAACTTTCTAACGCACGCCATTCAGAACTGTCATCACTACCTAATTACAATGACACTTTGAATCACGTAGCTTCATCTGCTTGTGCTGTTGTTTTTGTTGCTGCTGGTATTTTTATAGTTGCTGATTTTGTCAAATTTTCTAGTGTTTTAGCTACAGTACTATGGTAACTGGTATCTGTAAACCAGTATCAATAACTTACTTAAGAATGAAGCAGTAATTAAAGGAAAAGAAAGAGAAAACTGAAATAAGGCTTCTGCTCAGTTACTAATGTAACAAATGATGCAATTTAATATACAGAGATTATAAAACAATTTTTGATGTTAGTATTCACATAATCTAAAAAATATCATATACAAGCCATTTACAACTGTATTTATCACATATTATTCCGTGATGAAAATTGATATTAAACATCACTAAGGATTCTGTATAATCTACTATGGGAGGAGGTCCATGGCAGGGAGGGTCAAGCCCACCCAGAGATGTCTCAGAATAAAGCCTGGTGATCTACTTCCAATCAGCCATTGAAAACCCTATGCAGCAGTTCTAATCTGATAAACACGGGGCGGGGCTAGCTTGAGTCAGAGTCGACTTGATGGCAATTGATTTTTATAGTAGTTTGAAATATAATCTTTCTTTTCTTTCCTTCCTACTAGAAAGGTTCACAAGCTGAACTATATGCCCATTTCTACTGTTGTTCTTAGAGACTTGGGCATTGGGTCTACAGTGTCACAGGGGGATGTTTCCTTTACTTAGTGGAATTAGAGCCAATGGTCTTTGTGAGCCACAGGAGCCACATGACCACGGCATAGGCAGAGACTAGGGCTCAGGATGGGTGAGTGACTTCCACAGAATCATATTAGTGGGCAAACAAGAAGTGAAATCTGCTCTTTGATTTTTTGTCATTCCACCACAGTCTCCTCAATAAAAATATGAAGAGAATTGATCACAGTGATAGCAAATAGATTAGATCAGTGATGCTAAATTGTTTTGGGGAATAAATTTTTTGAGACTAAATCCTAGGTTGATAATTCCAAGAAATCTGCATTTCCAAAAATATTTTCAAATCATTGAAATTCAGCCAGGTTTTGGAATTAAATGGTCCTGAGAATCTATGACTACGGGTAGTTACTAGCTTCTTCCAAGCTATAGATACTAGTGTTGTTGGGGGTTGACAATTTGATTTAGACACATAGCAATACCATGTGACAAAAAACTCCCCACAGGGCTTTCTAGGCCCTGGTGACACAGAGGTTAAGTGCTTGGGTGCTAACCTAAAGGTCAGCAGTTCGAACCTATTCGATGCTCCACAGGAGAAAGATGTGGCAGTCTGCATCCATAAAGATTACAGTCTAGGAAACCTGCTGGAGAAGTTCTACTTTGTCCTATAGGGTCACTATGAGTTGGAATTGACTTGACAGCAACCAGTAATCTTACAGAAGCAGATCTCCAGGCCTTTCTCCTGAAGAGCTGAGTGGGTTCAAACTGCCAATCTTTCAGTTAGCAGACTTTTAGTTAGCAGCCAAATGCTTCATCTGTGGGCCACCAGGGCTCCTTGTAGATATCAGGGATAATTTTTTCTTTTTCCTCAATGAAATAAACTAAAACAAACTATCCTTTTTAAGTAAAACTATGTTTTTTTTAATGATTAAAAAAAAACCCTAAAATCAGTTAAACATTTTTGAATTGTCTAGATTTAAACAATTTATTCCATCAGATTGGAAAAATGAGACCTGAAGCACACCAAAACACCTGCTACTGCAGATTTTATCAAAGCAATTTTCCATGCAAATCACACGTCCACTTGCTTATGTTAATTTTAAATCTATTTATTCAGTATTATGGACCCAAAGATAGAATCCAAAGTCTTGGGCAAAAAACAATTTACTTCTCTGTTCCATGGCCCTTTACTCCAGTCAGCCATCTTTAAAATTTGTGCTGTCACCACTCAGGGGGCTGATTTTGGAAATCATACTGCTGAAGAGGCATGTAAGAACTGTCACTTAACACACTCTGTGTTAATCCAAATGTTTGGTTCCAAATACTTTTTCCCTCTCCACTAATTTTGAGATCACTCAGATTCACATACCTTGACTATTTAAGTGTGGACAGTCTCATTCTTCCATAGTAGGACAAGGCAAAACATACCATTGATTTTGTATAGTTATCATTGCAAATAAGCACATAGATATAATACATTTTATAGATGAAACTAGTGAGGCAAAAAACTCAAGGTTTCCACTGACTAAAAGAAGACTAAGATTATCAGTTTCTAGTAAACATTCTAGTATTTTCATGATTAATGGAATCAATTTTGTACATGTAGTATTAACTGAACAGTCATTTAGCAATTTCTCACATAGGCTTTTCCAGAAGTGCCTACACTTGACTTCACAAAAGTGGACACGAAGTGTGATCCTTCCCCCAGAAAATCATGCCCAGTTCTCATCGTCTCTAAAGGGTTACTGGGGGGTGGGGTGCAAAGAAGACAAAGAATGTGAGATAAAGGCAGTACTCTTAGTGAGTTGATCCCAGAAAATGTACACCAAGTATGAAGGCCACATCAAGAAACACTTCCTTTGAATCCATGCTCCTCAGGAACTACTTCCCTTTTCCCAACAATCAAGTTTTTGATCATTCATCATGAACCAAGACGGAGTGTATAAAACCAGAATAAAAATAAGTCTAAGCCCATAAAACACTGGGTACCACTGAATGGAACCTCATAGACTCCGGTTCCACTCTCCATCCCCTGTGCCAGAAGGGACAGGACCTAGATCCCAAGATCCCAGACTGTCCATTACAGATTCCCATGGCAATAGCCCATCCCTTCTTGGTTCTAGAGGTGAGGGACCAAGTGCTTATCAGGCCTCAATGCGCTAGAGGCAGGATGCCAGGTAGTGCCTCACACTCAAGATGCACGCCGCCCCCTCAACCCCCCCCAGCTGTGAGGTGGGAGGAAGCAGTCTCCTTAACCTTCCCCCACCACGCCAATAATCAAACTGTGGCTCTCAGGTCACCCTATAGGCAAACCCCCACCTCGGAAACACGCCCAACCCACCCACCAGATGGGCATTCCACAGGCGCGCCCCCTCCCACCAGCCAGGCCTCCCTTAGCCCCTCCCTGGGGCGTCTCTGCAGCTTGACCGAGTAGTGCCCAAGGCCTGCGCTGCGCTCACCTGCTGGAGGCTCGCGCAAGCACAAACGCACGTTCAGATACTCCACCTCTGAAGCTGCGGCTAGGGCCGGGGCGCTGACCGAGGCGCGGGCGCCAGCGCTTGGCCCCCAAGCTGCGGTGGCGCCGCCCTGGGCCTCTAGGCGAAGCGCGCGCAGGGTCACTGGCTCGGCTGCCTCCAGTAGCACGTGCCCAGCCACCGTCTCGCCATTCGAGTAGCAGCCCTTACGCTCATCCTCGAACACCAGACCCAGGCTCTTCACGCGGCCCTCAGAGCTCACGGTCGCCGCGGACGCCGCCTCGCCTCCCATTTCGCCAGGCGATGCGGCCTCCCAACTGAGGTCGGCAGCCGCCGGGAGAAGGGATTGCCGGCAAAGCGGCGCCGCTGTCACGGGCGCCGGCTGCACGCAGAGGACCTCCACGACCGCTGCGCCGTTCACCTGGAACAGCCGCCAGCCGTGGGGCCTGTTGCTTTAACAAACCCAGCTGAGACAAGAAAGGGGCCGGGCCTGCCCACTTACTGCGAGCACCCATAGGTTGGCTGTGAACCCTGAGCCTTGCTGATTGGTTGTAAATGGATACTGAGACATTTCATTGGCGCCCCCAGGAGCCGGCTAGCTCAGAAAGGCAATGCGTGATCAGTGAGTTCTGGCCAATAAGAAGACACAGGCGTGCACGTGCACAGGCCGCTTATTGGTCGGGGCAAGGCACAATTCTGGGACACCAACAAATAGTGAGGCTGTGCGCACATGTGGACAGACAGTGGGAAACAGGATCTGTCAGGGCGGGGGCAGAGCAGGTTATTGGAAGCTCAAGGTTGTCAGTAGTTTCTATGGCTATGCACCGGGGCAGACCGTTCAGCTGCACGAAGTCTGTTTGCATAAGTCATTGGGTTCGCACTGGATCATGAAGTTGTGGGTGGAACTGACCTGATTTTATGATTAGAGCTACAGTGCTCTAGAGGGAATAGTTGGAGGTGCCACTGGAAAATAGAAGTAATATTTCCATGTGAGATTTAAGGGCTGGTGGCATGAGAAACTTTAATGGACAACCTGGATTCTGCTAAAACTCCAGGCTCCTAAGCCCCGCCTCTCTCAGGAGGGTACTGGCCGAGATTCAGAATTGTCAGCCTGGGTAAAAGCAGCAGACAGAAAGAATGAAGGCTGTAGTTCTAGACATGGCCTTACCTCTAAGGAGTTCTACACTCAGGCTTACAGCCTCCTGCAGCTGGAAATGGCTGGAACTCTAATTTTATTCTTCCTGCTCTAAATAATGTCATGAGTCAGGTTGTATCAAAACAACATCTGTTACACAAATTTCTGCCCCACCCAAAAAAGTTTCCTGACCTCAGTATCACAGTCCATAAAACTTCCAATTACCTTGATGACTTTATTCCCCACACCCTCAGCTCCTGTACTCGGTTTCATTTTCTTTAATCCTCCATACTTCTCAATTCTAATTTTCTTTTTAACCATTTAGCATAACTAACAATTTCTGTTCATTTCCTAACTCCTTTAAATTCTTCATTAATCAAAATTCCAAGTTTGTGAACTGTTAACCAAGGTCCATTAGTCTCATATTGAGTTTTAAAATCTTTCCTTATGTAGCTTTTTAAATTTTCTTTTTCTTTTTCAAATTTAAAAGTTGTTCTATTGCCCTTTTTGAGTTTAGGTTATTAATTTGGAATTTAAATAAAGTTTCCTTATCACTTCTCAAAGTGTCAGAGCCACAGTTAAGCTCAGCATGCTATTGTTGTTAGCTGCAGTGGTGTTGGCTCTGACTTATGGCAACTCCATGTACAATAGAATTAAACATTGCCTGGCCCTTTTTCATCCTCATATATTCAAATCCAACCTTGCAGCTACTGTGCTAATCCATTTCACCAATGAACATATAATGCAAAGTGGAGTCCTAGATTGGGATTGGACAAAGAACATTAGTGGAAAAACTAGTAAAATCCAAGTAAAATCTGAATTTTAGTCAGCAGTGGTAAGCCTAATGTTGGTTTCTTAGTTTTCAGAAATGATCCATGGTAACGTAAGATGTTGGAGGAAACTGAATGGGTGCATGGAGCTTTGTGCACTATCTTTACAACCTTTCTATAAATCTAAAATTTCTATGAATCAATTTATAAAAACTTAAAAATCTTATTTAAAATATAAATATCTTATTTAAAAACAAACAATTAACAACAGCTAAGGATTTTACCCATACTATACTGAAGGAGCTCTGGAAGCGTAGTTCCTAAGGCACTTGACTGCTAACCAGAAGGCTGGTGGTTCAAACCCATCAGCCACTCTTTGGAAGAAAGGTTGGGCAATCTACTTCCATAGTGATACTGCCTCGGAAGCCCAAGGAGAGTTCATCATAAGTCGGATCTGACTCGACGGCAGTGTGTTATATATACTGTTTGAAGGGACTCCTTTTCATAATTCTCTGGCTAGAAAAATAAAATTTCTCTTGAGTTTATGTTGCCTGTGCTCACTATATAGCTCTACATTGGAACCACTCTCAGTTCAAGGTTAGGAGATTAAAGGGGGGGGGGGTGACTCAACATAGGACTCACTTTCTGTTACAGTTTGTTTTTCAGTTTTTTACTTGCCTCACCAAACCCTCTACTATTATTTATTATGCTGTGAATTTTAGTTATAATCAGTGGGAGAAGTAGACTGTAGTGTGTGGACTCCATGTTGCCCAACAAAAGACATCCAAATTTATCTTTCCTGATCCTCGGGTCTCAAGTTGTTAGTTACCATTGAGTTAGCTCTGACTCATAGTGACCTTATATATAACAGAATGAAATATTGCCTGGTCCTGTACCATTTTGATGATCATTGCTATGTTTGAGCCTATTGTTGCAGCTACTGTGTCAGTCCATCTCAAGGAGGGTTTGTTTCTCTCTTTTTCATGCACCCTCTACTTTTCCAAACTTGATCTCCTTTTCTAGTATATTCTTTCCTGATGATGTGTACAAAGTGAGCAAGACAAAGTCTTACCATCCTTCTTTCTAAAAGGGCATCCTGGCTGTAATTCCTGCAAGAGTGATTTTTCATTCTTTTGGCAGTCCATGGTATATTCAAAATTCTTTGCCAACACCACAATTAGAACACATCAATTCTTCTTTGGTCTTCCTTTTTTGTTGTTCAGCTTTTGTGTACGTATTGACAATTGAAAAGACCATGGTTTGAGTCATTAGCCTAAAAGTAATTCATTATATTACAGTGTATATGTTCATCTTATTTCTACCTGTTGTTGTTATGTGCCGTCGAGTCGGACACAACTTATAGCGACCCCTCCTTGGGTTTCCGAGGCAGTATCACTAAGGATGTAGATTGCCCCATCTTCCTTCTGAGGAGTGGCTGGTAGGTTTGAACTGCCAGCCTTCTTAGCAGTCAAGTGCCTTAGGCACTATGCTACCAGAGCTCCTTGTTTCTACCTGTTGTTGTTATGTGCCGTCGAGTCAGCCCTGACTCATAGCAACCCCTCCTTGGGTTTCCGAGGCAGTATCACTACGGAAGTAGGATTGCCCAACCTTTCTACCTAGGTATCTTTATTAAGTGAATTTAATTTATGTTTACAGGTATCTAGATCTTAATTTGAGGGATATGCCTATATGCTTGGTGAAGTTTGAAGCTTATTTACTGGCCTGAATTTTTGTTTCCCATTTGGACATAAAGTTTAAAAAGCAAATATCTCTAGGAAGAAGGGTGTGACCTAATCTTTACTAAACTCTACTGAATGCCAGTCCAGGTGTTTAACATATGCAATCTTATTCAGTCCTTATGACAACCTCTCTTGAGGACATCTTGTGGTTGAGTTGAGATTTTACAGACAAGGAGCCCACCGTCCAGAAAGGTGGAGCAGTTTGACCATATTCTACAGTCACTAAGTAGTAGAGTAAAGATCAGTCCTATGGTCTCAAGCTTTCTTTTCATAACAGAATGCTGAGTTCAACATCAAGGTTAAAGGTTAGACGGCAAAGAAGGAAGGAAACAAGAAAAGAAGGAAGAAAAAGGGAAAGAAGAAAAGAAGGAAGGAAGGAAAAAGGGAGAAATGAAAGAAGAAAAGAAGAAGAAAGGGAAAAAGTAAATAAGGGAGGAAGGAAGAAGAAAGAAAGATGAATGAATGAAGGAACAATGGAGTAAGAAAGACCTACAGGGAAGAAGAGTGAAGGAAGGAAGAAGTAAGAAAGACAAGGAGAGAAGAAGGAAGGAAGAAATGAGGGAAGGAAGGAGGGAAAGTAAAGGAAGGAGGAAAAGAGAAAAAAGGAAGGAGAGGCAGAGCAAGAGAGGAAAAAGTTAAGAGGGACGGGAGTGAGAAAAGAAGAAAGAAAGTAAGATAAGCTTATTTAAATAAGAAAGAATATTTAAATATTATTTATTTAAATAAATATTTATTTAAATAAGAAGAAAGACATTAACCAATACCTATATGGGTTCCTTTAACATCACCAAAATGTGTTGCAGACCTTGAGGTGCTGCTCTCTGTGTTCGTAACACCTTACTGGGAATAAACGGTATTGGAGCCTCCTGTATACTCACATACCTACACTTACCCTCCACCTTCTTCTGAAAGGATTTGAGGCAACCAAGAGGAAATAGGTGAAATTAATATTTCTTTTACTTGAAGTTTGAAAGGAGAAGTAGTGAGAGGGATGAGAAAGACAACAACAAAGAGAAAAGAAAACAGAAGTAGTGAAGGCAATTTTTGTTTGATTCCTAATTTTGAAGGAGAGACAGGGGTTAATATAAGAGCACAGGCATTCTTTTGCTAAAGATGCTTTATTCTGAGTAGCAGAAAAGGTCCTGCCTTTTAATTTCATGGTTTACCTATATATAGTGTAGCTGTACTGAAACAACAACAGAATGGACAGAGCAAGGAAAGTGTTCCTACGAATGAACAGTAGATTACATGCCATTACTAAAGCTGAACAAGCAAACATGAAATAAAGACATGTAAGATAAGTAACAATTAAGAGTCTTAAATAATTATAATTAGATCTATACTGAATGCAGAATCAATGGGAAAGCTCATCTGTGACCAAACATTATTTGTGCTACATGATTGCCCTTTAATATCCCTTTTCTCCTACAAAGGTCCTCTCTAATTGAAATTACCACGTGATAACTGATTGCATTATTGATTTAACAAAACACCTCCTTGCAAATGTTTGGTGGCTCATGGAGAATTCTAATTGAATTAAATAATAAAATTATACTAATAATGATGAAAGTATAACAACTTAAAAAAAAATCCTTTATGAACTGAGGTCCAGAGAATTAAGACCCCATGTTATCCAGTGGGGGAGCTCTGATGGCATAGTGCCTAAGGCATATGACTACTAACCAGAAGGCTGGTAGTTCAAACCCACCAGCCACTCCTCAGAAGGTTGGGCAATCTATTTCTTAGTGATATTGCCTCGGAAATCCAAGGAGGGGTTGCTAAGAGTTGGATCCAACTCCG